GGAAGGAAGGAAGGAGGGAGGGAAGGAAGGAAGGAAGGAAAGAAGGAAGGAAGGAAATGGGAGGCTCAAGTGGTTGAGCACTAGTCTTGAGCAGCAGAAACTTAGGGATAGCACCTAGGCCCATAGTTCAAGCCCCACGACAGGCCCAAAAAAAAAAAAAAGTTTCATGGACTTTCCTGCCAGAGCTGGCTTCAAACCGTTATCTTTAGATCACAGCCTGCTGAGTAGCTAGAATTATAGGCATGTGCTACCAGTCCCTGACTTAAGAAATCATGTTTCCATCAACTTTTCCTGTGGAAATCCATGGCTTTGTCTATCACAGTCACAGCAATTTTAAGAGAGCTACCCACTAGCTGAAACTGGACCTTAGTCTGGCATAGGTGATTGCTTCTTGCAGTCATAGAGTCTGGCATCCTGGAAGGCATGAAAGCCATCCCCACACACTCCCAAACAAGAAAAGCCCTAATGGCCACCAGCCAACTAAGAGAGCAAGACAACGTTCTTGTGGCCAATCATGGGGTGAGTACATAAACAGCGGGCTGGCAGAAAAGGAAACATCTCTCTGGGTTCTGCTGCTGGCTCTTTGCACTGGCTTCCTAGAAGACATGATCAAAGAAACTCCCAAAACAGAAACACTGGGTCTTCCTGTGCAAGATAAAAGACAGGCAAAGGCAGGAAGGAGAAAGACCAGATTGGAGGATTTAGAACACTGGAAGACAAAGGAAGGCTTTGTAAAAAAAGGCTGGCTATTTTAAACTTAGAAAAGAAGAACCACACTTTAAAAAGCTGAGAAATGAGGCAAGAGTATAAAAGCGGCTTGCTTGCTCCATTCTGCCTCAGCAAGAGCCGGCAGCTTCTCCTTTCCATCTCCTGCCACCTCCTGACTGCAGCTGGTTCCACTTCAGCCGGGGCCTTTACCTCCCAGGAGTGGGAGGGCCAGCCGTTCCCCTCATGCCATAAAACCAGTCAGCTTAAAGGCCCCAAAAGCCCTTATTGATCATGTAATTGCGAGTTTTTGCAAAGGGCAACTTTATAAATAACTCCCAGCTACTGAGAAATGAACTTCCTGGACAATAGACTAGGCTTTGACTTTTAACATATTAAATGCTGCTTAAAAAAAAAAAAAGGCCCTACAAGTGTAGGACCATATTCAAAGGATTTTAAAGATCTATTCTCCCCTCCCTCTCCCAGAATGGGTAGCTGCTAGAAAGCTTTTGAGACAAAGTTCTGTAATGCACTGACTTTCACAGAGCCACAGCCTGAGTGTATAACAGAACTTCACCTCAAATGCTAATGGTGCCTGGAAATGATATATAGAGAGAGGCAGATTGGTTTGTGGGAGGAGGAGTGTCTTGGATAGATTTCTTGTCATTTTATTATGGAGAAAACTAGAATGCTGTGCTCAGATAGCTGAAACACCATCAAACAAGCAACTAGGCTGCCATAAATGGGTATTTGATCTCAATCAGGTGCTTCTGAAGCCTGTTGAAAACATCATCTCCCAAAACCCCCTCCCTTTGCACATACAGGGCTAGAAGGGGAGAGTTGTGCCTAGTGCTGCCCCCTGTGGGCCATCTAGATGACTTGCAGGTTCCTCAGGATTATAGTCATAAAAATATGAAAAAAGCAGTTCTGTATTTTGGGTCCCAGCTATTTGGGATGGGGATATAGCTCAATGGTAGAGTGGTTGCCTAGCATATGTAAGACTTTGGTTCCATTCCCAGCACTGAAAAAAAAAATTATCATGTGCTTTTCTTTTTTTCTTCCTTTTTTTGGGGTCTGGTCCTGGGGCCTGAACTCTGGGCCTGGGCGCTGTCCCTCAGCTCTTCAGCTCAAGGCTAGCACTCTACCACTTGAGTCACAGTGCCACTTCTGGCTTTTTTCTTTTTGCTTATGTGGTGCTGAGGAATCGAACTCAGGGCCTCAGGCATGCAAGGCAAGCGCTCTACCACTGAGCCACCTTCCCAGCCCGTGCCTTGTGTTTTTCAAGTGACAGTAGAAAGAACTTTGAAAAACACCACAGAATTAAGTCTATTTACATATACAGTATGATGATACTTTGGAGTAAGATCTTGATATGACACCAAAAGACTGGAGAAACTAGCCAGGTGTGGTGGCTCACACCTGTAACCCTAGCTACTCAGGAGGCTGAAATCTGAAGATCACGGGTCAAAGCCAGCTCGGGCAGGAAAGGCTGTGAGACTCTTATCTCCAAAAAAAAAAAAAGCCACTTAGAGAACCTGAAAGTGGTGCTGTGGCTCAAGTGGTAGAGCCATAGCCTTGAGCTGAAGAGCTGAGGGACAGTGCCCAGGCCCAGAGTTCAAGTCCCACGACTGATCAAAAAAGATTGGAGAAACTGTATTTAGATCAGGTAGACAGGGTATTTTAGAACTATGACTAATTATGTGATTCATTAAGGGGGACCAAAAAAAAACTTTATAGTGTTAAGATTTTATCTGCAGATGAAGAGCAAAAGTAAGAATCTAGTTAAGACTCTTAGAAACTTTTTCATTCCCTACTTAAAAAGAAATCCTAAAGCCCGGTGCTGGTGGCTCGTGCCAGTGATCCTAGCTATTCAGGAGGCTGAGATCTGAGAATCAATGTTCAAAGTTAGTCTGGGTAGGAAAGTCTATGAGTCTTTTATTTCCAATAACAACCCCTTCCCCCCCCCAAAAAAAAAACAAACCCAGAATCAGAGCTGTGGCTCAAGTGTTAAGAGTGTCAGCTTTTTAGCTGTCTTTTGACAGTACTCAGGCCCTGAGTTCAAGGTCCAAAATGTTGTACCTATGACTGGCATACACACAAAAAGAAAGAAATCTGTAGGGTCACATCAAAAAGGGGTAATTCTGGGGCTGGGAAGGTGGCTCAGTGGTAAAGCGCTTGCCTTGCATGCCTGAGGCCCTGGGTTCAATTCCTCAGCACC